ATGTCTTCAGATTCCCGAGCCATCAGCTTCATCCAGAAAGGAGCGGGGGGGCAGGATGACGGGAAGACAAGGAAAACAAGTAAAAGACACCAATTAAATGTGAAGCAGAAAGAAAAGTTGTAATACCAGAACTGTCAAAAGCAGTGTCTCCTTCCGCATGTTACCGTGTCTCCTGCTGACAAATTGAAAACTAAGAAATGAATCTTGCACTCAAAATCAAGAGAGACAAATAGAGGTGTTTAAAGAACCAGCTGGAATAAAGACCATTTTTTTGTCATCACAGATGTGTGGCTGACTGTCCTGCATGTTGGGAGGAGCAATACCTCGCTCTTACAGAGTGTTCTTAGTGAGGAAAGCTCTCAGTGAGGGAAGGAAGTTTGTTTGGTTTTTTAAATTACAGAAGCACTTCTACCTCCAGAAACAGGGCCCAAAAACCTAAAGTGATTTGTGAAGGGCGTACAGAAACCCAGTGGCCCATAGTGAAAAAAAGGGCTCAGGTCTCTTGGACTGCAGTGCCCAGCTAGGCGCTACTGTTTCTTTAACGCATTACAAAATAATAAGATTTTTTTTACTCTTCTCAGGGGAGCAAGATAAAGCATGCTGTTAATGTCCTTGGTGGCAATCTGAGAAACAGACTTAGCCCTCATAATCAAAAAATCGATACTGAAAGTACTGAGCATCTAATTAGCAGCAAGCAAGATACTCTGTACTAAGGAAAGCTTCCGAAAGGCCAAGAACGTGTCCCGGAACAAGACACAGGGCAGACTGGGGAAATGCAGAAATAATTACGATCTCAGCATTTACAAATAGGCCCTCCAAAGCTGTTAATATGCTTCTTCAGACACCCAAATGTTTTAAAAACCTGGCTCACGGAGGTTTTAGTTAATGAAAGGCCGTGCCACTATGCTGGTGATGGACAGGACAAAGCTGCAGCTCTGTCGAGGGATCTGCCAGCCTGAAAGAAGTAGCAATAGAAAGAAGTGCCTGGTACGGTGGAGCAGTTGGAGGCTTTTACCTCCAGAAAACGCACGACCCCGGCCACCCCCTGCCGCGGGGACCTCCCCGGGCGCTGGCACCCTTTTGCCTTCAGAGAGGGGGGAGTGGATCTCCAAGGGTCACCCAGTGGCAGTGGAGCAGCCACAATATCCAGCTGGAGAGAAGCATTCCCTCCTTATCCTGATTACCACAGAGGTTTAGTGCCCTTGTGCATTTTAATTACTTTCCAGCCTCTTGAGATAAGCAGTTAAATGTTTGACCTTCCTGAATTAGAAGAGGTAAGAGTTTAAAACAGGATCAACAAGACACTCAGGAACATGGCAATGCATGCACAGGACTTGGTCTTACAGATGGGGAAACTGAGTCGCAGACCAGTTAAGCAACATTGAGTTAATCTACGGCCAATATAGCACCAAGTTTGAAGATCGTGGCGTATTAAAAGCATCACCAGCTTCTGAATCACAGGCTTAATTTTCTAGTATCCTTTCCTAGTAGAAATGCTGCTAGATGGTAGCGGTGATTTTCCACATACTCGCAGAGGTGTTAAATGACTATCCAGAGTGGGACAGAAACAGGAATTCAAGCTGACATGCTCCTGTCTGCTCAATGGAAATAGGGTGCCTGCTTCCTTCCTAATATCATGTACACGTATGAGCAGAATGCTGTGTTTTGAATGTGTTTTTGCATTACTTTTTATATATAAAATACTATGATTCCCGAACCTTGAGTTACAAGGGTTGCAAATGGAAGAGGATTCGTGACCTGGGAAATGTCAAAGGAATAAGACTGGGTGCGAAAAAGATTGCGAACTTCTGACTTCTCCTGAATATTTGACGTAAACCCCAAAGAAGCATAAGGAAGCATATGGCAAAACCCAAACAAATCAATTAATATTTTCTAAAGAGCAGTACATTTTTATTTATGAAACTATTAAACCACGTTTATGTGAGAAAGTTATCAAACTGAAAGAAAACCTCATTACTTGTAAATCTCTATGTGCAATGCAGCTATGGGGAAGCAAAACTGCTCTTGAGTGACTAGATATGTTTCTTCTGCTTTCCCCCATTTCTTTTGAGCCGTAATTAGAGTCAGATGTTTCTTATTTCCTTACTGTTTTGTTTTCAAGCCTGAATAAAATGCAGTGCCAGCAGTAAACACCATCTCTGAGAATTTTTTCATGTGTCAGCTGCATCTGGCTGAGCTGGAGTTACAAACAAGTATAATTCCAGCAAAGCAGTGCAAGCTGTCACTCAAGCTGTCATTCATTTCTGGAGCAGGGGATCAGCATTATGGTTTCTGGGACTGCCACACAGGACCCAGAAAAATCTCAAAGAGTATATTTGACAACCTTGTATCTATTAAAGAATGCTATAGGCAGGCTAGAATGTTTTATGTAGTAAATACAGCTTCTTCTCCCTTCAATCTTTGAGTCTTAGGAGTGATTTCTGGTTGCTTACTTGCTATTCAGTTGTATCGATTGTCTGTAAAGAAGTTGCGTGTTTCCCATTTCTTTCTTCCGCTCAGAGATAACCACAGTGTGTAGACATAACCATTTCTGCCCTATTTACATGCCCTTACTGTGACCTTGACCTCTTTGGTACCATTCCCTGCAGAGTATTTTGAGGTTAAAAGGCAGTAGTCCATGCGCCAAAGCTCTTTTTCTGAATCAAATCAGATTTTTTAATGTATTTGCATTCTAAGAACTATATCCAATATCTTATAGTCATCCATGAACTGTAACAATTACACAATAAGGTGTCAAAAATTATTGCTCAGAAAAAATAATTCTGGAGATTGGTTATGCCTTATTGTACAAATATTAGGCTTCTTTACTAACACATATTTTGAGCAAGCACATATTTGACCTAGAATAGATTTTAAAGGCAAGTGCCCAGCAGTTTTCCAGTCGTCTCTTTTTTCCCTTTTAACAGATGTGCTGCTGTTGCACAGTCCCTGGGAGTCCTTGAAATTCAGGCTTCTTTCCACTATTATGCATGCTTAAGAACTTTTCTGGATTAAAAACTACTGTTTTCTTCCCCTGAGTTTTGTACTAGTAACTCCTAACCCAAGTGTTGTAGCTTTTGGTACTAGTAACTCCTAACTCGAGTGCTGTCGCTCAAAGGAATCAAACCCTGTTGTATTTGAAATCATTCACGGAGGACTGCATTAAGGTACCAGCCAGACGTTGTCTAGTTGCCTCAGTTTTAAGGACGAATGAAGCTGTAGGATCAAAATGCCTTGCACTGCCAAATTTACTCTTAATTCAAGCTAGGTTTAGATAAAAATAAATAAAAGTGTTTGTTTACAGAGTTTGGAACAATGACAAAGCTTTACAGGGATACAGATAAGAGAAATGAGAGAAAGCCACACTTAATCTATTTATCTTTGTGATCAGGGGTTCTCTCCCCCCTTCCAGTATCAGACAAACCCTTTGCCTTCCCTACAGCCGTATGTACATCCGTGGTGCTCTAGGAGCAGACCTGTGGAGCGCAACAATTATGCATGACATAACAGCTACACGTATTTCAGGACTTTATTCTTGTCCCATGGACTCAAATGCCCATTAGTACTCGGAGCACATCGGGCATACTGCTGCAGTGCATCTTTCCATTTAGTTTCATTTGAAAGGACTCCAGTTCCCATGCTCTGATACCTCTCCATGAGGCAAACCAAAGCGCTCTAAGTGAAGACAATCTGGTGATTTGCTCCCAAAGTGCTCTCTAGCTCTGAACTAAAATGTTTCCTTTGTGCCTCACCCCAACACTGAAGTGACCGTGAAGTCCTCGCTCTTCCCCGCAAGGAGAATCACACCCCAGCTCTGAGCTGAGCTTCTGCCACACACTGGATCTGCTGTGTTCTATATAGAGCGTGGCTGCCAAAATGTGCATTTTACATGATCACCTAAATAGGATTGGGCATGTAGTCTGGCTCTGGCTCTTCCTCGTCGTCAAACGTGAGAGTAAATAGTTTCCCTGGTGACATATTTGGGGGTAACTGGCCCTAGCCCCAGCCCTAGACGACGGGAAGACATTGGTGCATTTGGTTTTCTAATGCAAACTAGCTTTTCTAACTGATTTATTTAAAGCTATTTCTAGCTCTTTAAAATTTCTTACTGATTATTTTAAGTCTTTTGCAATTCTTTCAGATTTTGTAAACATAAAGATGATGTAGGAAAGTACTAAGCGTTGACTTTCTCTTCCTTTCCCAGTCGTGGAGAAATTTAAAAGTTTTCTTATGTACACGGACGTACATGCCCCTTGAAGCTCTCTATACGTGAAAAAACACCACTCGTAAAATATGTAGCAAAGTGGTATCAAATCCATGGAACGGTGAAAGAAAGCCACGGGACTATAATCTTTAATGAATAATACATTTATCCACCAAAACATAGCTTGAGAGAGGCCAAAACTGCTTGCAAATTTTTGCCAAATACAGTCCCCTAGTTTTAATCTGTAAAAGTGGTCATAAATATGGAGAGGAAAAAAACGGCAATTACAAACATTTTTCTGGACGCTTCAACGTTTCCATTTCAGAATGCATTTTCATCTTACAGCTGAAAAAGTTTTCTCTTCTTTAAAGGGAAAAGAGAGCAAAGTTAAATAGGTCAAAACAGTTCTAAATAATTCTGTCATCAAGCTTGCCAAAATAGAATAATCCACAGTTCATACAGTCCTGTTTACATGCCTTTACATGCTGCTCCATGGTAAATGGAACAGGAGAACAGACCCAAATCTGGGATCCTATTTCCCTCTGGCATATGACTTTTGTGGATCTGTGAAGATCTACTGTCCAAGCCTTAAGAACAGTTATTCTCATCTTTATTGTAAGTGTCAGCAAAATGATAGAAGCAAAGAAATTTGTCAAGGCAGAACTGGCCTTTCCTAAACTCCTGCCCCAACTGGTTCAGTTGTCCAGGTGGGCCGTAAGGGTAACATGTCCACCGCGCCTCACCCTGCCCCAGATATGATTACATTTTCCCCCAGAAAACGTGACAGACATCTTAGATGAATAAATCATTTTTATTTAAATAAAATTACAGGCATATCTTGTCTATCATTAACTACCATATAGTTTTTTAAAAGGCACCAATATTTAACAATAATTTAAATTTTCTTGAGAGCAGCTACCTTTTTCTGAGTGGCATTTGTAAACTTGTCAGACCTCCATCCACTCATGAAATCCAAATAAAATCTGTCGCTAGCAGAACACCAAAGGTCACACCTTTTTAACCATAATAGCTACCTTGGTGTTCTGGACAACTCTTTTGAATAAAGCTTGAAAAGAATGGGTCAGATGTCCTGCTTAACAAATGACCACTCCTTAAAGGGATTGTTTCTTTCTTTTGTGCTACCAAAAATATATTAGGCTGAGAAAAGCACTTTAACTTTCACTCTGCATGTAGTGTAAACATTAAAAATTAAATCCAAACTATTGTTTCTTTAAGGCTTCAGGACGTGTTTTGACTGGCATTTCTTCAAGCTTAAGAACACAGTGCCACCTGCTCTTATATGAAGAGTTACTTCTTGTAAGAAGTACATCCTAACGTTTTTTTGCCACAGACTGTATTAGCTTCCTTACTGGAGTCCTCTATAAGTGTCCTTGCTACGCATGGTTATACCAGAGCCAGCAAAGTGAGTCTGATAGGCTTATTTTTCCAGTTCTGTGACAATCGGCAGGAGATTCACAGAAAGGGGACATAGGGAGATGCAGATGATACCTCTCAGCAGGCTGAATCCTAACCAAGTTCTCTCACAACAAAATACAGACCTACAACCACTGCTGGAATAATGCCCAGGCGCAGTTAAGGAGAGAGTCAGAATCGCAAGGCTGAGAAGGTCACAAGAGAAACACTGGCAGGTAACTTCTTTGCTGGCCATCGAGTTCTAGTACTGGCTCTTTTTGGTTCTAAAAAAAGCTGTTTTTTCAAAAGGAGAATTTGCTAAACATCCTCCAAATTCACAGCTCACTCAAGTTATTAAAATATTTAACTCATCCATGGGGTTCACTTTGTCAATTGATTTTGGCTTATTAAGATGAACTTCTGTAATAATCCCCAAGTTCTCCTAGATATATAACAATCTTCTTCACTTCACAGCGCAGCAGAAGCTCTGTATCTCAAATATGCTAACGGGTAAAAAATTCTGCCCTTTAAAAAAAACTTACAGACAATAGTGATGAAGAACAATGAATTATACCTGAATTTAAGACTGCAGTTGGGTATAACGGCACGCTGCATTGGGCCAACGTATCCCTGCTGCAGTGGATCTTCCTTCTGACTTATGCCAACAGAAAATTTGATTTTAATGGAACTGCATCAGTGAAACTCAAGTCTTAGATTTGCCCAGTGAAGGAGGCATCATTTACTTCAGAGCTTACACCAAGACCACTGTAAAGCTGAGATGCAAAGCTGCAAAAATACCCATACTGATACCTAGTTCACAAGACTGCCCTGAGACAGATTTTGTAAGTTTGCCAAAATCTCCAAGACCTTTCAGAGAAAGGCACTAAAGAAGAGCAAACTATTATTGAGAGAAATGGTGATCTTTCTTTGGCTGTGCATCTGCCGTTTCCCATTGCACATTTCTAAACAGAGAAACGTCTGGGAGTCAACTATTCTCACTTCAGAATTAGGTTCATCTAGATAGCCTCACATCTAGGTCCAAGTGTCACTTCATGACACTTAGCAAAAATGTGAAGTGTTTTACAAAAAGACCAACTGAAGTCTTCTAAGCTCAGCCACATTAAGATACTTTTCTCCTGGTTAAGTTATCCCTTTAGTTTAGAGATAGAGCACCTTAATACTTGTGCAGTATTAAATATATTTATTCAGAAAAGCAGGGAAGAAACTTGCAATGATTCTGCCTGTGAGGCGCAAAGTACTTTCTTAAGATTTACCTCAGAATAAACAACTTCACTTCCTTTAGAAAGGCAGTGATAAGCCTGACATTCTAAAACTTAAGCAATTAGCAGCACATACAGCTAAGGAAGGCTCTCTTTAAAAAGAGAAGAAAAGTATGTGGGTCCTAAAAATGAGGTGAATGCTTATGTTCCTTGCAAGGTGAAACAGCCTTGATTTTTTTCTAAATCTTGGGATCCCTTTGAGCTATAAATTATTTTCTGTGCTTATCTTCTTAAGCAATAGGCTTACTGCAATTAGTGATTTTATGCTACTAATTTTTCTGGTTTACACTGAAAAAATACAGATGAAGCTCAACAGTGAAGGGATCAGATCCTGCAACTCTTGTTCGTCCACCGGAGTCCAGTTCTGCATTCCCTTAGGAGCATAGGCAGATATTAGAATAGCGAGAGAAATATACTTCTGTAGTATCAAGCTTGATGAACTAGTAGTATTTGTACAGAATTTATTGTCCTGTACCAGCAAATTTCCAAAAGTAATTAGAAGAAGATGAGATTTTTACAAGAGGTATTCTAAACAGATGGAGCTACTTTTCCAGAATAACCACCTCACTACTGACGGATATACAGAACCGGCCACTGCCACCAGCATTCCTTCTGCGCTCCGTCCTCTAGGAAATAGAGCGTACGTGTTGCTGAACAAACGCTCTCGTGTCTTTCAAGAGATGCGTTTAGAGCTAGAGTTATACTTCACATGTCCACCCCTTGGGGGCAGTGTGCTTATGTACAACATAACCTTCCACGTCTTTTGCCACGTATCATTTACTTCCTTTTTTTGCACTGTTCAGATTGGAGCACATCCTAGTGACATTGAACGCTGGAGGGGAGGGCACCCTGTTTTTCGCAGGATCAGGACATCAGTCTGTCCATTTGAAAAAAGAAATACAACTAAAAAACAATCTTTCTTTTCTGAATTCAGACACTACTGTGATTAGCTGGGCATGCAGTTACTATGAACATCTGCCCTCACACAGCTCATTACGCAGGCTGCTCAAAACTTGCTAGGGAGAGGCTGGGGAAAGAGGGCAAATCCATCTCACCCACCATCTCATCCAGTTCAGCATTCTTATTATGCTTCTGATTATGTGCTGTGTCCGATCCTGTGTCTCTCCCTGAACTCTGCTGAATTCCACTAAATTCCACTGAAGGAAGGGAAACAACATTGGGGAAAGAAACTGCCTTTGTGGTCAGATGCTGCCCCCCTGGACACACACCAGCCATTCTAGAAAAAAAGTCACTCAGTACGCCTGGGAGAAATAGAGCCAATTCACTGCCTTTCAAAGCCAAATGATAGGAAAGAGGCAGGAACATCTAGGCTCCAGAATGAATAATTCCAGTCATTTTTAATTATTATACTCCTCTTTGGTCCTCCTACAGAAGTTTGGTAGTGTCTAAATGAGCATGACCAAACTACAAATTCTTCTTCAAGGAAATGATGACCGGACTTGCAGTGAGTAGTCCTTTCCATTTAACATAAAGCTACAAGGAAAGACATAAATGTGTTGGACAAGGCAGCTGTAAGACTGTCACTTTCTATGTTCTACTGTTTTCAAGGTCTGCACAGTTATTTATGCACAGTGACTAGTAGTTCAGCAAAAGCACTTATTTGAACATCTTAATTGTTAGTTCATCTTATCAGTTCCTTCAAAAGCAGAAGGAAAACATTTTGCTTAGCTGTTCGTAAGTCTAACTCACAGACTTGGTAATGTCACCTCATCTAATCCAAGTTTGTCTAATATTAATCTGTTTTTACACTGAAATACATGATAAGCAAGGTATTATTGGAACCACCACACATCAAGCTTACCCTCTGCAAATAAAAATCTAACTGTGCAGATGTATACAGTACTCCAAAGGATGATATTTGCATAGCAGGTTGTATAAAGGATAAATAAGATGGTAAACAAGTCTAGAAATGAGGTAACAGTTAGCCTAAGAGTAGAGTGGGCAAACTAGTAAAGCCCCATTCAAACTAAATTTCATCTTCTGACTCCTGATCTCGTTCAGATGTTTTCAGTAATCCCATCTCCATGGACTGGGACTGTTTAATCTTTGAACGAACTGCCCTGGGAAAAGAAAAAAAAAAAAAGAGATGTCATATATATCAGAAATCAGATAGTGACTGAAAGGCTGACCTGGCAATTTTACGTGGTAATAACCTATTTAACTCCTGCATCTTATCAGGCAGTTAGAATGATTGGTTTATGAAGAAAGACTACAAGAACTAAATATGGCCAAAGCATGATTAAGCAGGGATATTAGAATGGTAAGGATAAAACGAGGAGCGAGAAGCATGCAAGGAAAGGCTTGGTAAGCTCCTGCAAACAGGAAGTGATCACTCCTGGCAGAATCAGGCTCATTTTCCTAACGCAGCCAACGCTCCAGCTGGAGTTTTGTCAGAATTAACACTGGCTGACATGGAAAAGGCCTGTTTTTAGAAATAAAGAGATGAAAAAACTAGGTCTGTTCAAGGGAAAGTAGCAACCATGAAGTCTGTGCAATAATCTTCAAAGTTAAGTGGAGAAACCTGATGCCTAAGTCACTGGGAATTGGTACAGACAGACACAGAGAGAGAATATGCTGTAGGAAAAAAGGTCTCTCCTACTTCTAACTTCTTTTGCAATTACAGATGTGGAAGGCTATCAAAAAGAGCTCATTTTATGTGAGAAGCGTTATGCTGGCAGAACGGTACTTTATGTATGTTAGTTCCCCCTTCTACTGAAACAGTGAGTCATGTTCATTAATTAGCAATATCTATTTTTATTTTATCCTGCAAGACAGTTAATCATTTTGTGAAATCCTTTTCATTTGTCAGTGAAACCTTTCTAAAATAAATCTCCTGGTAGAGTAAACAGACAAGTCTCCACAGTTTTAGTGTTTCAAGCAGCTTACCAGCTGACAATTGTGTAATTCACTGCAAGTATAAGAAAAGCAAAAGCATAGTGCCAGCAATAGCACATTGTCAGGAACATCATATTAGTATGATCCATTTGATTCCACTCCGGGCTCCCATTTGGAGGGTAAAGAACGAAGCCAATCTGTAACAAAATAAAAGAAAACATCACCTGACATTTATACCATATCAGATATTACGCCACTCATCACAAGGCAGACATTTCATTTTCTCATAGTGCTGATTATTTCTGCAGTTATTATTAAATACAGTTTTGCAGTCACACTCAGATATGATGGATGGTTTTATACAGTGCTGCAGAAATGCCTTTGAAGATGCAGAGCCAGCTCCAGAGGTCCTCTGCTTTTGCTCAGAAAATTATCAAATTAGCCCAACAAGTCCTGCAGCAATCAGAATCGCATACTATAAGGAGAGGGGCTGATCCTCAGCCATGTGTGGTCTGAACTGCAAACACATCACCAATGACAAAACCTGCCCAGCCCTTCATGTGGACTCCCTTCTTCCCAATAGCGTCCGGGAATGTGTTAAATAGTTGAGAAGACAAACAATAAATTAATAAACAAAGGCAAAACGTAACTCTATTCTTCTGGGCAATCCAGGGAAAAGATCAGTTTTTGAAATTACATAAAAACGTAGCTTTCTCACTCAAGGCTATTAACTGGTGCGATGCACACTGGTGATCTGGTTTTCTAGGGCTGGGGAAGATCAAACTCACACTACTCTATAAGCCAGGGAGATATTAACCACCATGGCTAGTCAGGGCTCTGACTTGAGAAGCACCAGTCCTCTGAACTGTCTAATACTCTTCAAAGTCAATGCTCAGCAATTTAGTTGAGAATTTCAGAGCTGGAAAGAGGGGAAGAGGAAGAAGGAGGGGAGGAGCGCATTTTGCATTTACATGCAGAGAATTCAATGAATGAAAGCATTGATGATGCAGAAAAAAGCTCCATTACCTTCTACAAATTTGTCATTCTGCAGCAAGTATGTGGTTTTCAATCACACATACAGCTGAACTCTAATGCAGGCGTGAAAAAAGCCACACTTAAATCTCTTGTATTTTTAGGTCTTCAATTTTTACTTTGAAACAAAAAACACACTGTTTCTGGAGCAACTGGACTGTTTTGGAGTCAGGTAACGAAATTACTTGTTTTAAAATTAGACTAGACAGACAACGAAGAATAAATGATTGCATCTAATTCCTCCATTGTAAAGCTTCTTGAGTCACCAAAGAAAAGTTTGCAAACAAGAAAATAAAACACTAAGTGCTACAGCACCAGGTTATTGAGTTCATTTACAGAAAAAAAACTGCAGTTTAGGAGGTCTGTCTTCTTGCCAGAGCAAGTATTTAAATATTTGATCTGGTGCTGAGTGTCCAGTTCTCCTCAGGAACAGCAAACGTTTTTATTCATCACGTCTGGCCAGCATATAAAAAAGGGAAGCCAGTCTAGACATGCCGGAAAGAAAAATCACTGGGGTGACCTCAGTTCTCCACTATAAGATCAAATGCAGTTACTAACACTCCTATTTCTTTGTTACAAGGCAGCAACAATTCATGAAATTCTCTATCTTGTTCTAACAGTAAAGAACGGATTGCTATGAAATACCTATTAATCAAATAGAATCACAAATGAAATAAGGCATGGCAGCTACATTTTGATGAGTTCTTTCTCATCTCAGATGAGCCACATCTCTGAAATATTGAAGTTTAGGCTGTTATTTCTTCCGCTCAAATGCCAGAACATTGTAAAACTAGGAATCTTTGCGTCACCCAATGCCTTGATGGCGCTCAGGAGCCTGAGCATCTCTTGAATGTAGTTTGCCACTGTTGAAACGTTTTTAGGAAGTGGAGAGAAACCGCCAGTTTAGCACATGAAAGGTAATTTCCACCTTCATTCCTCTTTGTGGCAATGTCAATGAGTTGTTTGCCTCACCTTTCCTGTAGTCTGCTGGGCATTTTACTCACTACTCCCACTGCTGTGTGGGCTGTCTTTGTAAAGGACAGTGTATACGTGATGCTGTAAAACCACTGCCTTTTAGCTTGCCAACTTTGAACAGGATGGTACAGAGATCAGAGGGATTATTTAATGATTATAGCAAGGGACAGCTTAGCCAAACCACCTTAGCTTTTTTATTGATGCAGACAAAAGACAACAGAAGTAAAATGACTTCTTCATCTGCAAAATGGTTATGATAAATACTTTTATCTCTTTAAAGGGACATTAAGAGTGAGTTGTTACCTGTGAATTCTTTGCCATCTGTGTCTAAAGGGCATACTATATCACTTGTGAAACATCTGCAAAGGGATAAATGACTAATAGTGGTGAAGGAAGAAAGCCCTAAGGCAGAAAAGTGACCCACCTGCCAGAACCAGCTGCCTTGTAATATGCAGAGGCTTGTACGGAGCATCTCTAGTACAATACTGCCACGGAAGAAAACTTCCAGAAATATGCAAACAGCAGCTCCAAAGATAGCAAATAACAATAACTGATGAACATGAATATCCAGCATGGCTCTCCCATGAAGATGGTAACAGAAGAGAAAGCCTGAAATAAATTAAATGATCAGTTTAAGATTAAGTGATCAGATTACAAGTTATTTTTTAAGACTGACGCCTCCATATCTCCTCTCTTGAGCTTAGACTGGGAAATGATATGGGAAGCTACAGCTTTATCATCTTTAATTTAAAAGACATGACAGCAAAAAGTCTCATTCATCTGTCTCTGCAGCGTAACAAGAGGGAGGCTATGAGACGTACTGCGTGTATAGAAAATGTAAATCGAGTATGTCACATCTTCCAACATGCGATTCCAGTGCAGGCAAATGCACTCACAGTGGCTTTTGGCTTACAAGTTGGGTACCATATCAGTACATAATTTGAAGTACATGCCTCAGCTACCGGGCACTTACTCAAAATAGGCTCGTGTCGCTGCTCTCACTAGATTTCTGTTACTACCTTAGCTAGTAGCACAGAAACACCTGTGCAATGCATGATCGTGCTTGTGGGCTGCAGCACAGGCAAGCCCTCAGTGGTTTAAGGAGGGCCAAGACCGATTTCTTTCAAAAGCATTTCTGGGAGTTAAATGCTCAACTCCAATAGAAATGTGGGCACTACTTTGAGAATCCCAGCCAAAAAAGTGATGCCTGTAAGTATAAATAAACCTTCTGAGTTTCACGGACATCTCTGCAAAGAGAGGTATACTCACCTTCTATAAAAACTGCTAATGAAAGCATCATTCTGTCCATGGCCACTGGCAACGCATTTGTCCCATGAGCCACAATGTCAACCAACCCTGAAATGCCATAAAAGAGATACATGGTGGCATGCTGCCAGTTCATCAAGTGATCCCAGTGTTTTTCCTCGTAATTATACAACTTCAGATGAGGTCCATCAGGAACAAACTGCTCAGCCACCATTCCTGCACATGAAACAAGACCTATTACTAGTTGTCCTCCTGCTTAAGGTATAGGCGGACAATAAGTATTTATGCAAGCAATAGAGACTACAATACATCCCAAAGTAGAATAATACTGGTCATTTGGGGTTTTAGCGTCGTTTCCTGAGGATTGCTCTGAGTGACTGCGATGTTTTGCTCCCTTCCTCCCCATTCTGCCATTCTCAATAAAGTTTTTAATGTGCTGTGCAAATTCAAGTGAACTGACAAGGAATAGAGGCCTCTAAGATATTAAATTTCTATACATTTACAAGAAAATAGGCAGTGGCCAGAAGAGAGACAAAGTTTCTGTTCCGAGGGAAAGATCACAGAGGGAGCTCAAGCATATATTAAGCATCACATAATCCAGAAAGGAGAAAGCCACAGGAAACCCGGCTTCGGTTCCACTGCTGGCAGAACTGTGTGCATCTTACAGTTTCCAGCAGTGCAAATGGAGACAGCTATTTTGTGCTGCCTTTTTCTTTTCTTTTTTCTTTTTAAACAATTGCTATTGTGGTAGTCCTCTCACTACATTTTTCAGCTCTTTTCCAGTGGTTTAAACATGAGTTTAACACATGCTAAAGTCCCCCGAAAGATTTACCATTTCAGTCCCCGGCAATATGTAGGATGGCATAGTTCAAACTCTTAATTCAAAGGGGAACTTTCCTATAAAACCATAAAAGGAAATCCCTCCACTGTGCGCACTTATTAAAGAACCCATGAGAATATGTAAAGAGTTAATACTTGAATTGCTGCTTTACTGCTTCCCTTACCTTGGCCCCTTGTTGTGTTGCTAACAAAATACAGTATTCCAGAAAAGGGAAAGCTGCTTTTAAATACTCTATTTGATCAAGGAAGTTTGTGCTTAAAATACATTATGCTTTTAAGACATTAAAGTTAATTATATTGTTCAACATAGTGTGTGCCACTATCCCCCTATATAAGTAGATATGCTGCAGAACAAATGCAGTGTTTTTCCACCTTTATTTCAAGTTTGCCTTACACAGAAACAGCAGTTTTTACTCGTGCTGCTGCTTTTAGTGTTTGTCCTTGCCAGGCTTTTCTGTCCACATTTTTGACTGGAATTGAAATTACCATGCATTAAAATAATAGCTTTATTTTGTTCAGGGTGAAAGCAAAAACACTGGATTACTGTTTTAAATGCCCAGTTATCTCCAGACACTCACTGGGAGATTTGTAAAAAAAATGTCTTTCCCCATACCACAAAATGAGCGGTATTATTCAGGTTTTAATAATTTTTAAAGGCATATCAAACTGTGTACTGTACCCACAACATCACTTAATTGCTCCTATATCTTAATTGGTACAACTCCCAGAGGGGAAGGAAAAGTAGGAAGAAGATTTTGGCCCAATGTTATGGGATAAAATCTGCATCATGGTTAGACACCAGGGAATTGTGAGTGTTTAAAGAAGAGCAGATAGATAAAATATGATCTTAATCGTAAAAACTAAGATCCTTTTCAACTTAAGGCCCGCATGTGCTGAGCTCACCCAGTCCCCTATTACTTACTTACTCCGTAAAGATAAATTGCTAATATATACCACGCAGGAATTTAAAGAAGATGGAGGCATTTCCGATCAACTGCACAGCTCACTAAGCCATCTCCCTGAGTTTATATCCAGGCCAGTCCATAACAGAATGCAAAACAGTCCCCCGCTTCGTAACAATTCTGCAGCGATCGGGTCTGGAGTTCAGTGCTTTCTTGCGAATATTTTTACTTTTCGAGGGCCATTAATGAAAAAAGCACCTGCATTTACCTATTTGATCAATAACTCAGTGAAGACTACCAACATCTGAAAGCCAGCAGGCCTTCAGAAACCATTCAAGGCAGTGGGCTGAGTCTGTTAGAATCAAAACAGCTAAACAATGCTAACAGTTTGCATGTGAGAGCCCTTTAGCCAAATAACACATCTCCCCCCCAAAGTAGGACACAGTGTATGAACATTCAAATGGAGCATCTGTGAAGCAGCAAGGAGACTGTAAAGAAGCTCCAAAACAGTGCTATACATGGAGACTGTGTTGCAATCATAAGTATATAATTAACAATAGTAGCATCAGTAGTTCTTAGATTCTTAGTGTTCAAAGGTCAAGAGGAATTAAGTAAAGCACTGAGTCTGACCTCCATGTCCATCAAAACATACCAGGTCTCCCCCTACAGTTTTGTTTATTGAGCCCAACAGCTTGTATCCATCTAAAGCATTGCTTCAGAACGGCATCCTCTCTTGAACTGAAGATAGAAAAGAATGGGGAAATTTTACTGTAATGGTTCATAACACTATGCTTCTTGCAACACTAATTTAAAAAATTAATCAGAACTGGATACGTTTTATCAGAAAACAAGCTTTCAGAAGAAGTATGAAAAGGCACAGTGCTTTGCCTTTTTATTTTTTTTCCTCAGGAAGGCATCTAACTTACCAATCAGGGCAAAGACAGCTTTGATGATCCCCTCAACAAATTCCAGGCGCTGAAATCCTGCCCTGGAGCCAAGGTAGCAAGCATTCTTGTTTTTTCGACAGACGTACTTCAGCGGATACTTCACTGACCACCACAATCCAAAAAGAAGGAAAAAGCTTCCAGGGAGCGCATGACCTTTGAAATTGCCCATGCTTTTCTACTATGCAATAACCTGAAGGTAAACAAAAATGCAAACTGATTATTGGAATGCTGGGAGAATCCCATTGGACATCATTTGAAAGTCTCACCCTGCATAGATCGAAAGAGCATATCTGAATCAAACCCTCACACTTTATTTGAAAGTGAATAGAGTTTAGGTACTAATTTTCTGTTCAAATGCTGTTCAAAACACCCAGCTGCTCTCCTAAGTTTCTTAGATTTGCAGAACACAAATAAGTCACCCGACTGCAAAACAGTTGACCTGAAATGCCAAGCTTGCAGCTGACAAGTTAAGAGAAAAAAAGGTGTAGCACACTATGTCATGCTGTTGAAATTGCACTAGCAGCAGAGAGAACATGAATACTCAAAATTGAGTTCTTCCACCTTCAGGGTGTTACATGTTTCTTTAAATGGCAAACAAATATCAGGACAATAGCTGATTGAACAAAAAATTAATTGCACATGGATACAACGGGTAACGGGTTTGTTAGTGTTCACTAACGAACTATAATTTGCCTATCAAGCCAGGTGTCTCAGTGTGATTTATGAACATCCAGTAGTTCTCAACATTTGATAGTGAATTATGAACCTGCGACTAGATGCGTATTATCCCCATTTTACACTGAAGTATGCTAATACGCTTATTATTTGGCCAGTGTTATGCAGTCATTTAATAGCTGTGCCTGATCATGTAGTCATCAGCCTGAAATTCCCAGCTGCTAGGAGAATTAAGCTAGCTCCAGTAGCTTCTCAGTTAAAATTACAGTTCAAACATTTGACTGCAGTTTTTTTTTAAGCTAGTAGAAACTGAGGTATTGTGCATCATGACCCAAAGCATATAAAATCCTTGCTCAGACGATACATAATCAAGGACAACCACTTTCAAAGCATTAACAGTCTGTACTTTATGTTATTACTGTTGCTAACTTAAAAATCCAAGCACCACCGTATACTGGAGCCATCTGGTTATTAACAGAATATGGAGGCTCCGGTATATTTTTCTTTTAAGTAAGTGTTTCCCAGCTCTGCACAAGAAGTTTTCAACTGTGGTTTGTGGGCCATGGAGTACTTGCAGATGGTTCACGTAATGCTGGCTGGTCACGTAGCACTAGCCCTCTCCTGTTCCTGGAGGCTAAACTCCACTGAAAGCTTTTTCTTTTTTTTTTTTTTTCTTTAAAGAGAAACTTTTCCACATACACAGGTTCTAAAGTTGCCATAAGATTATTCCCTAACTGCGTGAGGAGAGGTGACCTACATAGCCACAAAGGAGAAAAAAAAAAAAAAAGACGACTGCTCACGAGTGAAAAAAGGAAGGATTTAAGCGCTCAGGCTGCTGTACATCCAGCTGTTGAAGGGGTTCCTACCCCTAGGTGTCTGTGCCACCCTCTTCCAGGACTGATTTCTCCCCATATAAACGCTGGGTCGCGCACACATTCCTGCATATTTGTTTAAACTGCCATGCTGGGCTGTGGGCTCTGCACCCAGCACGCCCGCTGCAGCCCCAAAGCCTCCGGCAAGGCTGGTAGCTACCGGGGGGCATCAAATCACTGCAGCTGGCTCTGCCACATCCCTCAGAGCCCTGCAGTGGGATGAGCTTTAAAAGCTACCCCTCAGGGTAAAACACCTCCTAGCTCATTTCTAGGAAATTATTACTGAATTACAAGAAACGGGATACATGACGCCGGTTGCCAAAGCAAGCCCATTTCTTCTTCTGTCTTAAGTGGTATTGCTAATGCTTGTATCTACATATTCAAGTTTGGAAAAGGGACCGTAAGCCTGGCTGCACACAGCCTGAGGAAGGGTGGCAACCCCTGGCCGAGAGCTCGTGCTAGAGCCCCAGGGAAGCAGTGCCCTGTCAGCCTCAGGGGGCCACCAGGTCTACCTCCCCACCCTCCTTTGCACACACACGCTCTAAGACATTTCTGCTCAAAAACTTATATGGTTTAGCTTATAGGCTTAGCTATAAACTTGTAGGGCAGGCAATGCATTAAGAATACATTGGACAAGGCCCAGGTAACCAGCTGGCCTGAGCACGGCTTTGTAATAGCCAAGCGTGACATCCGAAAACATCCAGGGTGCAGGAAACCCACACAGAAGGGTGACGAGGGGTGCGCGGTTACTTATTTTTGTGAAACAGAAACCCCTCCATTCGGGGCTTCTGCCTTGTGGGGGAAGACTCCTCCACACCACTTTTCTCTTGGTGAGAAAAAAAAGCAAGGGGGTTGAGCAAAAAGTGAGTCCGGCTGAGTATATACCTGGATATTTTGTTTGCTGCTTGCAAGTGGAGAAAGCGCTGCTCGTTCCCGAGCAGCCTACAGCCTAACCTGGTTCCCGGCTGCGTGCTCTGGGGACTCAGCCCCACACTTTAAGCCTGGCCTCAGCTGTATCTTGGAAGCGTTGCATCTTTTTAGCACACCTTTATTATTTCAAGGATTTTGATCCTTGTTTGTGCATCACTGCCAGTAATCACAAGGCCCTCGTTTGCCTCAGAAAAGGGCAATAGTGACAGGAGCGGAAGTCTGAGTCTCCTGAAGGTGCTTGGGCTTCAAACTTTGAAATTCTTCCTTTTTTTCCAAAGCCTTAATTTCTGTTTCTTCTAAAACCTGCCGGCCTGACTGGCCCAGCTGTCTTTTTAGAGCGATGCTAATTTTGTCTTTCTTTGCATTAAAGAAAGAAGGAGGGAGGGGCGAGTGGGTCTGTCCTCACCCTACGTTTGATCTCGCTGACCACCATTCACTAGAAAGACTTTATTCATTAGATACTTTGTCATTCCCCGCCGGTCCGCAGCACTCCAGCTGAAAAGACTTACCCCGTATCGCACATCAAAGCAAGGCGCTGGATTAGAAAGGTAAATGAGAGCCATGCAAAGCCCACCGCTAGGAGGAGAGCAGCAGTGCCGTCCGATGCAGGTGGAGATCAGGGCGTTACTGCAACTTGCAGCGTGCAACCCACGGGACTTAAAAGCAAATCTCAATCTGTAAGCTCACGTACGGGTTATTCAGGGCTCGGGCGCTGCAAAATTTGTCGGCCCCTAAAACAGGGTGATCCGCCAAGATAGTCTGTTTAAAACTATTGCTGCTCTTGCAAAACAAGGGGAGGGGGAGGGAAGAAAAGGAGAAGAAAATAGGTAATGTAAACAGAGAAGCCGGAAAAAAGTGGACACCTTGCCCCTCTAAGCAATGCAATCAAGCGCTACTAGTTTGAGGGAGCATAAGCTTCGGTCTGAGCCCACCTCAAAAACGCTGGTGTGCGTTTGCACGCTTCCCCTCGAAATGTGCATCGGTTCAGCCACCCACAAGTCGCGGCAGACCGGGACGACATTAAACCTCGACACGCTCAGCTCGGGAAAGCAACCGGGCGAATGAGACGTTAAGCGCTGAGCAAACGGGCCCAAAGGGTCGCGACGCGGCTACCCTCCAAACTGCGTAAGATTCCCCACACGGGCGAAATTTCCCTTCGTCAAAATGGCTGCCGCCTCCCCGTGCTGCCTGGCCCAGCTCAGCCCCGGGGAGGGGGGACAGCCGGCAGGCCAAGGAGTTTATTTCTGCCAGGGTGGAAGGGGGCTGCTGCCCACTACAGTTTTTGAGCCCTTGGAGCAGTTTTGAGCCCTTTGATGGAGTTTGGTTTCCTCCTCGCCCCGAGGCAGGGCCCCTCCCGGCGCTGGAGGCGCC